GGGAGAGTGGAGGGACAGCACAGGAGAGGAAGACCCTCAATGAGATGGATCGATTCTGTGAGTGGAGTGGTGGGAATGAATGTGTTTGAGACAGCTAGGTTGGCACAGTATAGAACAGCGTTTAGGGCTCTTTTACATAGGGTCACTATGAGTCGCAAATGACTCCATGGTACATGACAAATAACAACATCCTACATGGAATGTGAGAATTCTAGTACTGAACCACTGAAGCCCTCTCACTAAAACAGGAATTGTCTATTCCTTTGCTCTGTTAGTATTGGAATTAGTCATATGATTTTCTTAATCTAATAGGGAACTAACTAGTGGATCTGATGGAACAGCGGTGCCAGTGTTCCTTCCGATTTGATTTGGCCTCTTGCACTTCTGTGAGATACTGTAGAAAGGCTTGACCTGAGTAGCACTGCTCCTTTCGTCTCGGGAAAAAGAAATGATTGGCACCCAGCCTACAGCGTAGCCCAGCTCACCCTCCATCTGAATGAAATAGAGCTGCCCTAGCCAATGTGCAGACTGAAAGGGAAAAAATATTTTTTTAATCTACACGATTGAGGGGATTATTTGTTACATAGCATTACTGCAGTTATCACTGACCACTGCAAAAGGGGAATGATGATGATCTAGGTATGGTGTTGCTGGAAGGAAGTCAAGGGTACCTAGCGGTCCCACAGTCTCCTCATAGAAGCAACCCAGGTTCTGCCATGGCCACATTCTTGTAACAGAAGACACATAGAATGAATACGAAGTTTCCTGTCTGAATTCTTATATTTTCTGTTCAAATCTACCAGCTGTTCCACAGAAAAAAGATAGGCATTCTCTTATCATGTGATTTACAGCTTCTTCAAAATGTACTGGAGGGTCAGCTATGAGTTTATTCTGACTCAAGAGCAATGAACAACAATAATAACAACTTAGAGACACATGTAAGTAACACAACAATACTTGTTCTGGATTTATTGTGTATATTTGCCTATTTTCTGCCTCTGCTATAAGCTCTTAGAGGGCAAAGACCATGTGCTGCTCATTTTTGTCTCCCTTATAACATGTAGTAGAGCACTGGGTACTTCATTGCCTAAACACATACTCAATGTTGAGTATTAAGTTGAAAAGAGTAAAAAGCACAACCCACTAGTGACACATACAGTCCTGAGTAACACTGAAATCCTAACCAGGAAGGAACCATTAAAACCATACTGGGTGGTCTCCTTGTTGGCTCCAGTCTCCTAGATCCAAGGAATCTTTCGTTTTCTGGGACTGTGCAGCCTGAGGATAGAAGGCCCTGCAGGGAAGTCAGCAGACACATCCCAACCCCTTCAGTAAGCACTCATTAAGCACCTGCTGAGTGATAGGTCTTTCTCTAGAGCAGACAGGGTGATGCCTTTGGGATGAATGGAAGGTCTTTGGCGAGGAGGAACACTTACCTGAGAGCTTGGTGGGGCAACCAAGTTGATTCCTGGAGGGGCTGCCAGCGCTCCCGATGGCGGGCCCATAGCTGAAGTGATGACTCTGTATGGAGAGCCCAGAGCATTGAGGGGGGCTCCCACTGCACTCAGCGTCCGTGGGGCACTCACAGGGGTGTCTGTGTAGCTGGAGTGGCCATCCATCGGCTTCCCAGCAGACAAGATAGCCGATGGGCTCATGGACGTGGAGCTGGCGTGACCAGAGGAGCCTGTGAGGAGAAGAAAGTGAGAGTGATACAAGATTGGGGAGCACAAATACAGAGGCCTGGCCTACCCCCTGTTTCGTTTTCCATATCTTTCCCATCCTTCCAGCCACATCTGCACTTCTGTATATTCTAGAAGCATTGGTGGTTTGGTGGTAAGGAGTTATGCTACCAACTCAAAGGTATGTGGTTTGAATCCATCAGCTGCTTGTGAGAGAAAGATGGTTATTCTCCTCCTGTGCAATTTACTGCCTCTGAAAACCCAGTTGAGGGTCAGCCTTGAGTCAGTTCTTGCTCTATGGAACCGTCTAAAGTGGGGAAAACAGAACAGGGAGCCATAAGGCTGTGAACATCTCTCTGAAAGGGCCAGAGGGAATGAGAATAGCACAGTCCCTTACTGCTTCAGAGCAGAAAACAGATAGAGTCCATAGCCCAGTGCCATGGTGCTGGTGTAGCCCCACCAACAGCAAGAAGTCCACAGTGATGGTACCAGCAATGGAATTTATTAAGGAAAGAAGTTGGAGAGTGAGGGAGGCAAAGAATTATTACCTACAATAAGTCTGGATTTTAGCCTGACAGTTCCAAGGCACAACTCCTCAGTTGGCCAGGTTCTGGTTTCAACTGAGCAAGCAGATTTTTCTTCCATCATCAAAGGCAAGAATAGCAAAAATCCAACTGTGGCCAGCACAAATGCAAGAAGCCTTAGGTCACACGTTGCCACAGTCTCTCCACAGCAGTACCAGTCTCTCCACCACCAGCGGTCTCACTCTCACCGGGGTCTTGCTACCACAATCTTTCCTCACCTAAAGTCTTGCTTCAAGTCTTTCTCACCTCAAGTTTTGCTGCTCCAAGTATTTTTGCCTAGTGTAAGAAGCACTCTTTATATTGCTGCTTCAGTTATTAATGATTAATTAATAAGACCATGCTGATTTGCAAGATCATGTGTCTGCAGTTCAGGTAGCTTGAGACCAGTGGTGGCTAAATATTTGCTTTAGAAAGCTAACTTTTCCTCCACAAGAAAATGACTGATGACCCAATTACAAAATGGGCAAAAAACATGGAAAGAATTTTCACAGAGGAAGATATTCGAATGGCCAACAGACACATGAGGAAATGCTCGTAATCAATATCAATAAGAGAGATGCAAATTAAAACCACAATGAGACATCATCTTACTCCAGTGGCAGTGGAAAAGTTTAACAAGACAGTAATAAATCTTGGAGAAGATGTAGCAAGATAGGAACTCATACGTTGTTGGTGGGATTATAAAAGGGTACAACCACTTTCAGAGTGGTTTGGCACTTCCTCAAAAAACTGAACATAGAAATTCCATATGATTCAGCTATTCCCCTGCTTGGAATATACCCTGAGAATATGAGAACCGAGGCTCAAACAGACTGTACACCAATCTTCATAGCAGCGTTATTCACCATCACAAGAACATGGAGACAGCCCAAATATCCAACCACAAACAAATGAATTGAGAAATTATGGTACATTCACACAATGGAACACTACCCAGCATTCAGGAGAAATGATTTTGCAAATTACTACCTAACTTGGGAGGGATTGGAGAGCATTATGCTGAGTGAACTAACTCAGTCTCACAAGGACATAAAATCATTATTGCAGAATTAGTGTGAAGATCCAAGGGGGGTGGGAGGGTAGAATCAGATGGGTGAGGGGAGGGGCGGGGGCTGAGGTGGTTAATCATAGGGTCACACAGTTTGATGTGGGATGGGGGTGAAGGAAATGAGAATGATCCGGTGTGAAAAACAATGTATTCAAACTTTGTAAATAAATCAGTATAAAATAAAGTTAAAAACCCTGCTCTTAAAAAAAAAAAGCCAACTTTTAGGCTAACACCACAGGTAACAACAACAAAATAATTAGCTGTAGGTGACAGCCAGCTGCTCTAGGACAGACATGATACTCTTCAGGAGAAAGATGGACAATATTTTCCTATGCAATTAACTGCCTCTGAAAACCATCTCGGGGGGTTATTTCTAACTCGATAGTACACAACAATAACAACAATATTGGTTGGCTGAAAGTTGACCCATTGGAATGATTTCACATTGAGGCTTGGAGAGTGACTATGGTCCCTAGTTTTGGGGGATTCAACCAGTAAGATTTTATTTTTTCTTTATTATTTTGAGTTTTCTTTCAAAATTTTCCCCCTCCCTTATCCAAAATTAAAGAGAAAGGATGTCAGTTTAATGACTAAGGTGTACTCGACTCAAGTATTTTCTATTGCTGGCATTTTGCATGGTATTTTCAAATCCATGTGAAAGTTGGATAACAATGAAGAAATGCTGAATAAGAATGGATGTCTTTGAACTGTAGTGTTGACAAAGAGTACAGAATATACCACGGACTGTCCAAAGAACAAATCTGTCTTGGAGAAAGTGCAACCAGGGTGTTCCTCAGAGGAAAGAATGGTGAACTTTGTCTCATATACTTTGGGCATATTGTCAAGAGGGACCAATGTTCGGGGAAATACATGACTGAAAAAGCAGAGTCAGTGAAAAAGAAAATCTACAAAAAAGATCAACAAAGGGACTACAATAATGGGCTTGAGTATATCAGAAATTGTGTGAGGGCGAGGCTTTGATCTGTTGTTCATGGACAGCTATGAGTCAGTTTGATGGAACCTAACAACTACAGCTACTACCAATGACCCCAGCCGTCATCCATTTCAGAGAAGATAGCAGGGCCACTCCCTTACTTCAGAAATACTATCACAAAAGGCCAATGGCTGAGCAAAAACATCATGTTTCATAAAACAGAGGCTTAGAGAAAATGAAGGAAAATCCCAGTGAGATGGATTGATGCAATAAACCCAAGACAAGAGGCTCAATCATAATGTTGTTGTTAGGTGTCGTTGAACTGAGTATGAGTGATAGCAGCCCATTGAACACACTTGAACCATCTTCTATCCTGCAACCTCATCATCATCTCTGACACAGCCTACTGCTGCAGTAACTTTATCAATCCATCTCATTTAGGGTCTTCCTCTCTTTCACTGACCCTCTACCTTTCCAAGCATGATATTTCTTTCCAAGGGATAGCCTATTCTAGCAACATGCCCAAACTATGGAAGATGAAGCTTTATAATCTTTGCCTCCAAAGAGCATTCTGCTTGCACCCTACGCAAGACATATCTGTTTGTCCTTTTGGCGGTCCTCTTCTTCCACACCACAAATCAAAGGCATAAATTCTTCTTCTGTCATTCTTGTTCATTGACCAGCTTTCTGATGTGCAGCAAGTGATTGAAAGGACTATGGCCCGAATCAGGCACACTTTAGTCTTCAAGCTGACAACATTGCCCTTCAGCATTTTGGAGAGATTCCTAATAACAGGCTTGCCCAAGGCAGTAGGTCTTGTGATCTCCTGACTGCTGGTACCGAGGATGTTGACTGTTGATCCAAATAAGATGAAATAGTTGACAATTTCAATTCTTTCTCTATCAGGATGTTGCCTATTGGCGCAGTGGTGAGGACCTTTGTTTTCTTGATGTTGAGATGAAATCTATATTGAAGGCTATAATCCTTAATCTTCTTCAACAAGAGTTTCAAGTCCTCCTCACTTTCAGCAAGCAAGGCAGTGTAATCTGCATAATGTAGGTTGTTGATGGCTTATTGTCTGATTCCAGTGCCACATTCCTTATCATAAAGTCCAGCTTCTCAAATTATTTGCTCAGTATATGAGATTAAATAAGTATGAAGAAAGGATACATCACTGATGCACACCCTTCCTAATCTTAAACAAAACAATATTCTATTTTTAATTGTGATTTTAGTGAACATTTACATAAAAGTTAGATTTTCATTCATTCATTCATTGTCACACATTTTCCTCCCTACTCCCCCAGTTTACTTTTTTAAAAAAAAAAATTGTTGCAAAATGTCCTCCCTCATCCCACCCTTCCCCAAGTCCACTTGCTATGTACCTCTTATTCTGGACTGTTACACAAATAATTTGTAATCAAATATTCCTTTTAAACACTTTTTTCCTCCTTCTGTTCCAATGTTTGTTAATTAGTGTTCATTAATTATTCCCTCTTTTCTTAGTTTTTAACCCAGCCCTCATGTCAGTCCTGTTTTATAATAGTGACTTTATGCAGTATTTGTCTTTTTGTGACTGAGATATTTCATTCAGCATAATGTCCTCAGGGTCACCCATGTTGTGTAATATTTTATGAGTTCCTTATTTTTCAGTTCTGTGTAGAATTCCATTATGTGAATATACCATAGTTTTTCTATTCATTAATTTGTTGATGACACTTGGGTTGCTTCCATCTCTTTGCTATTGTGAATAATGCAGCAATAAACATGGCCATGCATATATCTATTTATGTGGCAATTCTGATTTCTTTAGTATATATTCCTAGTACTGGAATTCCTGGGTCAAATGGTATTTCTATTTGCAACTTCTTGAGAAATCGCCAGGCCACTTTTCATAGTGGTTGCACAATTAACAACAGTGAATAAGGGTTCCAATTTCTCCACAACCTTGTCAGCATTTGTTGTTGGCTGCTCTGTTGAACTTTTCTATTGCTACTGGGCTGAGATAATATCTCATAGCTGTTTTTATTGGCATCTCTCTGAGAGAAAAATTCTGAACTTTTTTCACCCCTCATATGTTTGTTTACTCTCTGAATTATCTTCTTTGGTGAAATGCCTGTTCATATTCTGTACCCATTTTTAAGATCATGTTGTTTACTCTTTCATATTGAAGTGCTAAAGTATTCTATAAATTTTAGATATTAGTCCCTTATCAAATATGTCATTACCAAATATATTTCCCAGTCTGTAGCTTTCCTTTTTACCCTGTTGGAGAAGTTTTTGATGTGCATAAGGATTTGAGTCTAAGAAAGTCTCATTTATCTACTTTATGCTTTTTTGGTTGTAGGTTTTTCAAGATGCTTAGAAGACTGTCCATGTTGTGGATTAGGGCTTCTAGAGTTCTTCCAAGCTTTTCTCTGATGAAGTTTATAGTCCTTG